TTTTTGTTGTCTCTTTTTTTTTTTTTTTCTGATGCATGGAATTGTGTTCCTGTCTTACTGGTTGTTTGGCCTGAGGCTTCCAGCACTGGCGTTTGTAGGCTGTTGGGTAGAGGTGGGTGTTGATGCTGAGATGAGGACCTCTGAGAGAACTCACTCTGATGAATACTCCCTGAGGTTCTCTGGTAGCCCAGTGGTTTGGACTTGTAGTTCCCACTGCAGGAGCTCTGGTCTGACCACTGGCTCATGAACTAAGGTCTCTCAAGCAGCATGGGGTGGCAGGAAAAAACGAAAAGAAAAAGAAAAAAAAGGAACAGAAGAATAACAAAGAGTAAAAAATAAAATAAGAAACTAACAGATATGTTAGAAATAATAAAAAAATAAAAATATAGATGAAACAACAACTGACAGGTAAAACAACCACAATTGTAAAGAAGAGGGCCTTTTTCAGAGAACTAGAACAAAAAATTTCACAATCTCTATGGAAACACAAAAGACCCTGAAGAGCCAAAGCAATCTTGAAAAAGAAAAATGGAGCTGGAGGAGTCAGGCTTCTGACTTCAGACTGTACTACAAAGCTACAGTAATCAAGACAATATGGTACTGGAACAAAAACAGAAATATAGATCAATGGAACAGGATAGAAATCCTAGAGATAAACCCATGCACATATGGTCCCCTTATCTTTGATAAAGGAGGCAAGAATATAAAATGGAGAAAAGATGGCCTCTTCAATAAGTGGTGCTGGGAAAACTGGACAGTTACATGTAAAAGAATAAAACTGCAACACTCCCTAACACAGTATACAAAAATAAACTCAAAATAGTTTAAAGACCTAAGTGTAAGGTCTTTAGGACATTATAAAACTTTTAGAAGAAAACATAGGAAGAACACTCTATGACATAAATCACAGCAAGATCGTTTTTGATCCACCTCCTAGAGTATTGGAAATAAAAACAAAAATAAACAAGTGGGACCTAATGAAAGTTAAAAGCGTTTGCACAGCAAAGGAAACCATAAACAAGACGAAAAGACAACCCTCAAAATGGGAGAAAATATTTGCAAATGAATCAATGAACAAAGGATTTATCTCCAAAATATATAAACAGCTCATGCAGCTCAATATTAAAAAAACAAACAACCCAATCCAAAAATGGGCAGAAAACCTAAATAGACATTTCTCCAAAAAGGACATACAGATGGCCAAGAAGCACATGAAAAGCTGCTCAACATCACTAATTATTAGAGAAATGCAAATCAAAACTACAATGAGGTATCACCTCACACCATTTAGAATGGGCATCATCAGAAAATGTACAAACAACAAATGTTGGAGAGGGTGTGGAGAAAAGGGAACCCTCTTGCACTGTTAGTGGGAATGTAAATTGATACAGCCACTATGGAGAACAGTATGGAGGTTCCTTAGAAAAGTAAAAATAGAATTACCATATGACCCAGCAATCCCACTACTGGGCATATACCCAAAGAAAACCATAATTCAAAAAGACACATGCACCCCAATGTTCATTGCAGCACTAATTACAATAGTCAGGTCATGGAGGCAACCTAAATGCCCATTGACAGATAAATGGATAAAGAAGATGTGGTACATATATACAATGGAATACTACTCAGCCACAAAAAGGAACAAAATTGGGTCATTTGTAGAGACATGGATGGATCTAGAGACTGTCATACAGAGTGAAGTAAGTCAGAAAGAGAAAAATAAATATTGTATATTAATGCATATGTGGAACCTAGAAAAATGGTCAGATGAACTGGTTTGCAGGGCAGAAATTGAGACATAGATGTAGAGAACAAACGTATGGACACCAAGGAGGAAAGCAGGAGGGGCTGGGGTGGTGGTGTGATGAATTGGGAGATTGGGATTGACATGTACACACTGATGTGTATAAAATGGATGACTAATAAGAACCTGCTGTATAAAAAAATAAATAAAATAAAATTCAGAAAAAAAAGCTGGATAAAGCCTTGACTTGAGGGGCAGGGCTTAGTCACGGGCTGGGTTTAGGTGGTGGGAGGGAACTATGCTTAGGCCCCACAGGGTCAGAAAAGCTCTGGGTGGGGAGTGGGTGTTGGGCTTAGGCTCAGTGCAGCAGGAGTGTCCCAGGAGTGCCTCTGCGCTTGGAGGTCAGAGGACCGGGTCCAGGACTGCAGCAGGCTCACTGGGCCTGAGTGGGTGGGGGAAATTCCTTCCATGCTTTCCCTGATCCTCTGATCCCAGAGGGACCCCCGCCCCCCACATCCACCTCTCCTCTACTAACCCTGCCTCCCTCCTACACCCTTAGGACCAACATGGTGTGGAGGGGGGGCCTTGGAGGACAGGAGCCCCGCAGGCTTCCTGAGGCCAAGTGGGTGGGGGAAACACCCGCTGTGCCTCCCCTGATTCTCCGGTCCTAGAAGGTCCCCTCCCCCTCTGTCTGCCTCTTCTCCTCCTCCCCCATCCTCCCTCCCTCCCACACCCCTAGGACCCATGAGGTTGGAGGGGGTCCCAGAGAATGGAGGACCAGACCCAGGAGCCCAGCAGGCTTCCCGGAGCCTGAGTGGGTGAGGGAAACACTAGGTGTGCTCCCCTGATCTTCCGAGCACCCGAGGGTCCCTCCATATATGGGAATATTTCCCCACTCTCAGCCATCCCTCAGGGACACCGGTCCTATCTGGCCTCCACTTCTCCTCCCCCCTCACTCCCCCCACGTCCTACCCAGTCACTCAGGAGTTCCTCCTGTCTCCTCCATTTGGTATTAATTTGATGCCCATTTTGTGACTGATGCTAACCCCTCCCTGGAGGGGAAGGTATGGTCTGGTCTAGGAAAACCTCTAATACTTAGGCAATGCACGTGCTCTACAGTCAGTCTTTATAGAACAATCACTGGAGGTATTGTGCTAGCTGCTTTAAGTAGCTATATAGCATTTAAGCCTCATAGTTCATGGAAGCAGTTATTAGCATCCCTGATTTACAGATCAGAGGAGTAAAGCAACTTGCCTAAGATCACACAGCAAGCAGGTAAGTGGTACGGTGACAATTTGAAGCCAGGCCTAGTTGACACACTACATCACTGCCTGCCCTTGCAGGCTAAAGAAGATTCTGACCTAGAGAGGAAGAAGTAAGCCATACAAAGAAAGACTGCCACCTGCCCACCCTAAATCTTTGCAGACAGATCTGGTTTTCTGGAAAAATATGATTGCTCAGAAACAGGGTCATATGTCATCATGGTTAAGGCCATCATCTAACTAATTTTGGTGCAAAAAGTGGAAAAAATCAAATTAAGTGTATTGTTTCAAATATGAAATATCTGGCCATTTGATTTTTTTTTTTTTCCATCATCAATAAAGCTTGCTGAAGTTTTTGACATATTTGTGGATGTTCCCGTTTGCACAGACCCTACATGCCTGTGCTTTCCCTTCTTTCTGGAGCTGTAACAGAAAGGAAAGATGAAAGTTATTTTTAATTTGGCCACTGAATGAACAGCCAAGTCTTCCCTTCCAGCAGCTAAGCCTATATGTTTTCTCAAAAGGATATTAATTACCTGGCTCTGGGAATGACAAGACAGGTTATTCTGGAGGCTCTGGCTGCCCTGCTGGCCATAATGCAATTGCTTGTGAACACAGCAGGACTCAGAGGCTTCAGCAGGGAGTGCCCTCCTCCTCAATAAACTCAGACACGGTACTGGATAACTTGTAACACACATTTATTGATTTCTTGACAGTAACCAAACACAGTGAGTGACCGTTATAAACAAGAAAAGAAAGGCATTCATTTGTACTTTGTGAGATCCAGCTGCACCTGGAGAGAAAAGACACCCTTTTCCCAAGAATTTACAAGACAAAGTGCATTCCTTCAAGGGGGCATCACGGGGATGGGGTGGAGAGGGCGGTGGCAGTTTTGAAATGCAAGAAATCTGTCACCTACTATCTCAGGCTGAACCTCACCTCATATGAATGATCGAGCCATGGAGTGGAGTTAAGGTTATACTTGCTTAGCAAATGCATTCCCATTGCCACAAACTCAGTAAAAACTGGCTGCAAATGAGCAAAACATGTAGATGAAGGAACAAATGAAACCAAAGAATGCAGTTGCATGGAGCCAGGGCTTAGCCTGTAAGGAAGGAGAATAGACCAAAGCCAGAAAAATGAAATTAACTTGTTAAACACATTTATTGAGCTGTTAACAATAACCAAACACAATGTATGACCTTTGGAAAATAAGAAACAGCAAATGGATCAATATGATCTTGGCAAATCCTACTACACATATATGACAAAGAGGGGTAATAATTCCATTTTTTTAATAGTCTGTGGTGATATATATATATATATATATATATATATATATATACACAATGTGTATCTATTCAATGTTTGTCCTTTTTTCTTTTTAAATTGTTGAGTAAACAGAAGAATCACAATCTAGAAATGTGTCCTTGGCCAACTTTGTCTTGGCTCACCTGTCACCAGCACCCATAAAGGATCCTAGGACACTATTTGAGATTACTTGATGCAAAGAACAAAAGTCCACTTGATGCTGTCAGAGCTGTGTTTTCTCCTCTCTCTCTTTTGGAAGAATTTTGTAATATACAAGGCTGAAAATTCTCATTCGGTAGATTTATTTGTTTCGGAAAACAGTATCAAAATTGTAATCAGGTTAACTGGTTATCTTCTTCTAAGACCTCTTATGAATGAGCCTTTTGTTTCTAAAATTTAACTTCCCATCTTGGGGGCTGTATGAGTGTGTATGTGAGCAGATATATTTGCATGTGTGTGTATGTGTGTGTGAGTGCTTGTGTGTGTATTTGTGAGTGTGTGTAAGAGATATATTCCTCTGCCAAGGTTTTGCAGACAATTTTCATGAAGAAAGGGCCAATCCAAAGAGTGAATGAGGCTTGAGGGAGGAAAGAAAGAGAAGAAAGAAGGGGACAGTTTAGGTTACGTCAATTCACAGTTGTAGCATTTCACTGAGGTGGGATTCTTCTTGGCTTACTTTCCTATTTGAGGAGCCATTCATTTACTGGAAAGAGAGAGAGAAAAAACAAAACAAAACACACAAACAACACAAAACAAGGCATAATTGGATTAATTTACACACAGTTTGGGGGGCTTACTCCAAAGGGGAAGGGACAGTTTTCTAAATGTCTGCTTACTTGTATGTATCCCAACTATCCACTCCACTTTCTTATGAACCTCTAGGCCTGAGCTATCCAATAGGGTTGTCACTAGCTACATGTGGTTAATATAAATCTAAATTAATTAAAACTAAATAAAATTGAAAACGTAGTTGCGTTGTCACACTAGCCACACTTCAGACATTCAATAGCCACATGTAGCTAGTAGCTACACTATTGGACAATGCAGACACAGAACATTTCCATCCTTTCAGAAAGCCGTAGTGGATGGTGCTGCTTTAGACCAGGGGTGGGCAAATGACAGCCTGCAGACCAAATCCAGCTGTGAACTGCTTTTGTAAATAAAGTTTTATTGGAACACAGCTACAACCATTTATTTACATTTTGTCTATGGCTACTTTCACCCTAAAACATCAGAGTGTGGCAGAGACCCTATGACTCACAAAACCTGTATTTATCATCTGGCCGTTTGTAGAAAAAGTTGGCACTCTTGGTGTGTCCCTATTCCATCTACTTCATGATTGTCCTGAGAAGCACATGAGAAACTGGATAGGGAAGCCCTTTTGAAACAATAATGTGCTGCCTAAATATGGGGACTATGGATGTTACTAGGCAACTTTAGAAGCAGCTACCACCTCTACCCTCCACTTTATCTCTCCAACTTCCTCCATATTTCTGTCTTTAATTTTCTCTCTCAGACACACCCAGAGCCCTGGGGTTAAATGATTTGGCTGGGTTTGTATGGCTTGTTAGTGTCAGAACCATGGCAGCAACTTGTGTGTCCTAACTCCTGGTTGGGGGCATCTCCATGACACTGTCCTTCCTCCACCTTCCTTTCCATGTTGAGAGTTTATGACAATGATCAATAGGTACTTAGTGTGTAGAAGGGAAGAGAGAGGGCTGGGTGTGGACCAGAGGGTTATGGGAGGCGGGAGGCATCTTGAATGTCCCCTCTAGTAGGAATTATAGTCACTGCTAGGGACATAGCACTAGAAAAAATGCATTCATAAGCACACCTCATTGGGTCCCAATGGCCTGGCATCCAGAATTATTTGCTCACCTTCTAGGGGAAAAGGGCATCTATTGTGTATATAACTAAAAGCACTAATTCTTCTAGCTGTCCTGTTTTAACACATAACTTTGAGAACATCAGCCTCTCTGGGCTCTTCGGTAAAAACGCAATGAAAATGCTGTCTTGCCTGAGCCAGACAAGATTTAAAGATTTGATCTCTGTCTCTGTTTATGAAATACAGACTTTTTCAATAGAAAATCACCATGTAAATGTCACTTATAATCATGACTCCTCTAATGGGAGATAGTGCCTATCCTTTCAGAGTAGGTGTGAGCAGGAAGACTGGGCTTGGCCTGTCTCGACTGCCCTCTGAGCCACTGAACCCACCTCTATACTGAAGCTTCTGGGCCCGGTTGTTTGGACAGTCCTTCCCCTGTAAACTGAAGTTGATGTTGGTGCGGATGCAACGGTTGTTGAGTGGCTGGACAGGCCTGAAGTTGTCACTCATGCTCAGAAAGATCTGAGATGGTTGATTCTGGCTGAGCAGGCGTAAGGAATGCATCTGAGGAGAGAGAAACAGCTGTGAAATCCACCCGTACCAGGAAAGAAGTAAGACCATGTAGACTGTGGCCAACCCAGGCAGTGCCAGCTGTGTGGGAAAGGGCACCTGAGGCCTCCAGAGACCCTGATTCATGGGTTCAGTGGGTAAAACCCACTGATGCCTCCATGCTTGGAGGGAGCCTTGCTTCAATCTCCCTGGCTCCTGTGTGCCTCTGAACAAGTCAGTGATTCTCTTCTGTCCTATGACACACTGTCTGTCAAAGGAGGAAACCCAGCTGGGTGTTCTCCAGGGTCTCTTCTTTCTATCACACCTTGGGGTCCAGTAATTCAGGGAATTATTCTCTCACATAGGTATTATTCAAACTACATTGATTGGTCCAGGAGTCGGAGCTAAACTAAGCTGGATTAATTCAGTTCCTTTTCTGTGAATATCAGGATCTGGAGCTGGACTAAAATGTTTGCAGCCATGTTCCACCCAGGACTGTGAAGCTAAAGAATACTCTCTAGCAGTAGAGGAGAACGAAGCTATGGTGCAGGAGGGAGCAGGAGAGAACAGAGAGAAAGGGTTTCTGGGGTTCTGATTCCAGTGACTTCCTGACATCAATTTCTGATCTTAAATTCCATAAGATGACCCACTATCTCATGGATAAATCCTTTTTCTAAGCTGAAGTTAGATGGAGGGGGTTGCTAGTCACTAAGAGTCCCAGTAAATACAGATAGCATCACGTACTTCAAATTGTTCAAATTGCTGTTGGGTTGTAAATACATAACCTGTAAAGGAGATTGGATTTGCTTCCTTTGCTTATCTTTCCTCTGAGTTTTTATAGACCCTTGCAATCATAGAATAGACTCATGTAATTTACCCCCCTCATTATAAAGAAGAGAATTCACTTCAAAGAAGTGGGGCAACAGGCTTAGGAGCTCATAAGGAGCCATTAGTAAAGCTGGCCTCAGAGGCCAGATCTCCTAGTTCCCATTCAGTTCTGAGAAATACTAGCCAGCCCAACTAGGAATACTGTGAGATGCTCTAAAAAATCCCATATTCAAATATGTTTATGAAATGCTACATATCATATTGCCTCTTCTTGGAGACTGACATGTATATCATTCTAAAGACCCTGAGAAACTTCCCAGCAATGAAATCGACTTAGCTCTTTTTTCTCTTTTATTTCTACTTTAAAAAAAAAAAAATTAACATCTTTATTGGAGTATAATTGCTTTACAATGTTATGTTAGTTTCTGCTGTATAGTGAATCAGCTATACATATACATATATCCCCATATCTCCTCCCTCTTGCATCTCCCTCCTACCCTCCCTATCCCACTCCTCTAGGTGGTCTCAAAGCACAAAGCTGATCTCCTTGTGTTATATGGCTGCTTCCCACTAGCTATCTATTTTACATTTGGTAGTGTCTATATGTCAATGCTTCGTCCCAGCTTACCCTTCCCCCTCCCCGTGTCCTCAAGTCCATTCTCTATGTCTGAGTCTTTATTCTGTCCTGCCCCTAGGTTCATCAGAACCATTTTTTTAACATTTAGATTCCATATATATGTGTTAGCATATAGTATTTGTTTTTCTCTTTCTGACTTATTTCACTCTGTATGACAGTCTCTAGGTCCATCCACCTCACTACAAATAACTCAATTTCATTTCTTTTTATGGCTGAGTAATATTCCATTGTATATATGTGCCACATCTTCTTTATCCATTCATCTGTTGATGGACACTTAGGTTGCTTCCATATCCTGGCTATTGTAAATAGTGCTGCAGTGAATATTGTGGTACATGACTCTTTTTGAATTATGGCTTTCTCAGGGTATATGCCCAGTAGTGGGATTACTGGGTCATATGGTAGCTCTGTTTTTAGTTTTTTAAGGAAACTCCAAAGTGTACTCCATAGTGACTGTATCAATCTACATCCCCACTAACAGTACAAGAGGGTTCCCTGATAAAGCTTTTTCAAACATATTTGACAAAACCACCCATTTTGCTCTGCCTTTTGAACACTAGAGTTGTAGAGCACACTTTGGGAACTAACACTGCTGTCTTTTCTCACTCAAACAGGTAGGGTGTATCTATAATTAGTTCATGCTAAGCCTTTCTAGATGCTGATTCTTTTTATTTATTTATTTTTAAATATTTATTTATTTATTTTTGGCTGTGTTGGGTCTTCATTTCTGTGCGAGGGCTTTCTCTAGTTGCGGCAAGTGGGGGCCACTCTTCATCGTGGTGCATGGGCCTCTCACTATCGTGGCCTCTCTTTTATGGAGCACAGGCTCCAGACGCACAGGCTCAGTAGCTGTGGCTCACGGGCCTCTTTGCTCCGCAGCATGTGGGATCTTCCCAGACCAGGGCTCGAACCCATGTCCCCTGCATTGGCAGGCAGATTTTCAACCACTGCACCACCAGGGAAATCCCAGATGCTGATTCTTTAAACATAAGTTTGATGAGCTGAATTGTATACCCCCAGATTAAAAAGTTGAAGTCCTAACCCTCAGTACCTCAGAATGTGACCTAATTAGGAAATAGGGTAATTGCAGATATAATTAGCTAAGATGAGCTTATTGGGTTGGACCCTAATCTAATATGACTGATTGGGGTAGGTCGTAAACCCATTTGACTGATGTACTTATTGTGGGGTGGGAGTGGGGTTGGACAAAGAGACACAGACATTAAGAGAATGCCATATAAAGAAGAAGGCAGACTGAGGTGATGCTCCTACAAGCCAAGGAACACCAAAGTTTCGCCAGAAAACCACCAGAAACCAGGGAAGAGGCATGGAACATATTCTTCCTCACTTCCTCAGAAGGAAACACCTCTGCAGACACCTTGATCTTGGACTTAGAACCTCCAGAACTGTGAGGCAATATGTTTCTGTTGTTTAAGTCACCAAATTTGTGGTACTTTGTTAAAACAGTCCTAGCAAACTAACACAATAGGCACTCCACCCAGCCAGTCTTCACATCATCTTCCCCATTAGCTAAAAGACCACAGAGAAGCTCACCTGCATCCTGGTTATATAGACAGGTTTGTTCATTATTATCCAGCTTGCCGTCTCATAGCAGGGTGGGATAGTCATTGACCCATCATAAGTAATGAAACTAGAGGTCTCTGGATATAGTTCCTCTATATTAAGTCCCTGTAGTAAATATGCATCATCTAGAGAAATAAAAAAGACTTAAGAATTAGATTTCTTGAGAAAGTGCTAGTGTTACTGATAATTTTTTCTTTTCAGATTCCAGAAGACTATAACTCTCAGGATGGGCTACAGTAACAAACAGTTCCCCAAATCACAATCACTTTAAACAAAAAATGTCTATTTCTTGCTCAGATACAAGTCCATTCTAGGTTGGCTGAGAGCTTCCTGCATGTCACTGTTGTCCATACTCTGGGACCCAGACTATCAGAGCAGCTGCTGTTTAGACCCTTGTGATTCACAATGATAGGAAGAAAAGTAAGCATGGTGGAACATATGTTGGCTCTTAAAACACTGGCACATGTTGGCACATGTCACTTCTGCTCACATTTTGTTAGCCAAAGAAATCATATGGCCAAGGCTGATGTTAGGGATTTAAGGAAGCACATTCCTCCCATAGGATGAGACAATGAATATTGGTGAAAAGTAATGTGGTCTACCACAAGGAGAATAAGAAGAGCCAAGTCCTTGGTTATGGTCCCTGATACCTGGGCTCATAACATTATAGTCATAATGAAATACACAGTTAAAGGTTTTTAAGTCCTGTTAAAACATTGCCTGGTCACCATTCTTATTTATTAACATTGCTTAATTAAGAGAACATTAAGAAAATATTTTTAGAAAAGTAAGTCAGACCAAATCCTACCATGAGATTTAACTGTTAAATTCAACAACTGATTTCATTTTTGTGGCTCTCCTCTCCATAAGACCCATACAGATAACCCTTTCTCTTATACCTATTCAAGGTATTCACACTCATATATGTTTTATTATTAAATATACTTTTTCAATTATAAAAGTAACATAAATACATATAAGACTATATGGAAAAAAGAAAGGAAAATAATAACTCTGATCACATAAAACAATTGCCATTAACATGTTGGTATATTTCATTCTGATTTTTAAATTCAATGCATTGGTTGTATTTTTATAAAATTATAATGTACTGGAGTTTTCAAATGTCAGTAAGTTTCAATGAACTTCTCTCCTCCTCTTCTCATGATCCTTCCTCCCTTCTTTCTGCAGACTCTTTCTCTCTTCTCTTGGCCTCTAAAACACCATACTTGGGACTCCTATTTTTCTGGTCATTCCTTCCAGGATTCTGTCGCTGGATTCTTATTTTCTACCTGCTTTTCTCAGTGTTGGCATTTCCCGAGGATCAGTCCAAGGCTCTTTCTTCTCTCAGTCTATATTCTCATCATAGCCCATCTACATTCATGGCTTCCATTGCTCTCTGTACCCCAGTGATCTCTAATCTATGTCTTCAGGAGTCTTGCACTCACTGGTTTGCCATGAGTGTCCACCACTGTGGCCGGCCCAGGGAGCCTGAAGAACACATGGCAGGGACCCAAAGCCTGGCTGGCAGAGGGATAAGACCTGCTCCTCCAGTCCTCCTAGGTTCATATACATTTTCTCATCCATGTGTTCAACTCCCAGTGGGAAAGGACTGACTCTTTGGTGGTTGACATAATCTCTCAAATTCAGTATTGTGTATGTATAATGGTAAAAAAGGACTTTCACATACAGCTGGAACCTCATACTGTCCTAGTAAGATTGGTCAGGCATATAATAACAACTTCATTGACAAGAAACTGAAGATCAGAGAGGCAGAGTGACCTGCCCAAGGTCAGAGTGCTAGATGGTAACTGCAGAGTGGAAAGTGGAATCCAGCTCACCTGACTTCCAGGCCAAAGTCATTCATTCATTCAAAAAATGTTCACTAGGTACCTCTTAGTGCTGGACACCAGGTTAGTCTCTGGGGTTAGAGCAGTGAACAAGAATAGATGCCTGCCCTCATTCTAGCTGAAGAGACAGATAACAAATTGCAAAAAATATATATAATATGTTGACCCTAATATCAGGGTGGTGATGGTAAATGCATCTTGGCCCAGGCTGTACCTACTTATCCTGAGCATTAATGCTGCTAATCCATTTTCCTGGGCAAAAATCTCTTACCTTCCCCATCTTTTCCTCCAGAAATTTCTCACTCAAGTTTCTCTGATAAGAAAGAACCATCTTTGCCAAGGAAATTTAGATTTCAGAGCTCCTTTGCTTGCCAGCTGAGTTAAGGACAAGTCAACTCATCCAGTGGTTTTGAACAATGCAAATAAAACCAGTTAGCCTGCTTCATCCTAAACTGCCTCTCCTGGCCTCTGCCTACCCTTATAGGGTAACTGAACTTCTCCAGGGCTCTGTCCACAAAACGCCCATGAGAGAGATTGGTCAAGCTGGATGAGGACATCAACACTAGGAGAATGGGCTTTCTTTCTCTTTCCATTTTAATGTTTCTACCTTTCTATCAAAACACAAGAGAATCAAGACAAACCCAAGAGAGACATAGTGATTGGAATATAGCTGGGATGGATCTGTACTCTGTCTTGTGCAGTCAGATGGTTCCATGACAGAACTGTGGTGCCCAGAGTACACACTGATGTGATGGTCCTTGGAAGTTAGATCAGGTGTCAACACAACAAGCTTGTGTTGAGTAGCCACCATTTGGCTCTAATATTTCTTAAGCCCCTAGTATGTGTCAGGCACTAAGCTAGGTATAGGCAAGCAGGATGTAATGTAAGTGAATACAGCAAGAAACCACAGAGATAGTGATATATATCGGCACTGGGTACATTGAGAGGCTGTCAGTTATGCCTGGGGGTGGGTGGGACTGCAGAGGATTAATTGAGGAGCTGACCTGAACTGTATCTTGAACAACAGGAGGCAATCAGTGTGTGGCTGGTAAGGGTGGCTGTCAAGGGCACTGTAGATGGTCACAGTAAAGAAAGTAAGACACAGAGCAGCACATACTCAGGACAGCTAGTGCATGGGTAAAATGCAGGAGAAGGGGTGTTGTGAGGAATAAGGCTGGGGGGGTGGTCAGTACAGGCCACACCCAGAAGGTTCTTCTCTGTGCTGTTGGGAATTAGGGCTTCATCCTGTAGGCAATGTGGAGCCACGGAAAGGTTTTAAGCTGAGGAGTAGCATGATCAAATTTGCACTTAATGATCTTTCGTCTGATGGTGGCTTGGCCTGAAGATTAACATATTGAATGAGAAAAGGAAGCATTTGGCACATCTTTATTAAAGGTCAATGTGATTTGTTTAACCAAGCTTGCACTTGGAGCATATTGGGTACTCTAGCATGCTGCTATTATTGTATTTTTTCAAAAAACATCTTTATTGGAGTATAATTGTTTTACAATGGTGTGTTAGTTTCTGCTTTATAACAAAGTGAATCAGTTATACATATACATATGTCTCCATATCTCTTCCCTCTTGCATCTCCCTCCCTCCACCTTCCTTATCCCACCCCTCTAGGTGGTCACAAAGCACCAAGCTGATCTCCCTGTGTTATGCAGCTGCTTCCCATTTGCTATCTATTTTACATTTGGTAGTGTATATATGTCCATGTCACTCTCTCACTTTGTCCCAGCTTACCCTTCCCCCTCTCCATATCTTCAAGTCCATTCTCTAGTAGGTCTGTGTCTGCTATTATTGTATTTTATTTTATTAGGCGTGATGGGGAGGAGAGATGGAAGGAGACCATAGAATGAGGGGCATTCCAGGCATGACTAGAGTAAAGAAAAACAACATTTATGTTTTTCTGAAACTATAATTAGCCTCTGTGTTTCATCTGTATTTGAGGACAGGGTTGGTGTGTGTGTGTGTGTGTGTGTGTGTGTGTGTGTTGGGGTCAGGGGGAAGGCCAGGAGCAACAGGTTACATTCATGGATTTAACCCACATAGAAGGGTAAAAATCTGCTTCCAAAACACTCTTGTGCTGATATCCCAGGCTCTGCTGCTGTGGTCCTGCCAGGAGATTCCTCTTCACCCATGTCACCTGTGAGATGTGCAATGGTTGCCACAGAACATGGCAGCTTCTACCCTCCCACAGTCCTCATTCACCACTTTGTTCTTCCCATGAATCTGCTAATATGCATACTTCATCTTTGCCCTTCTAATTTCCTCACACTACAGAACTTGGAAAAACCCCTGTGTGAAGAATGTGAACTTTGGTCTCAGACTGGAGTTTCAGTGCTGGCTTTGCTGTTCACCATTTGCATGACCTTGTGCATGCAGGTAACCATCTGAGCCTCAGTTTCTCAGTATGCAGATGGTTGGAGTGGACAGTGGACTGAATGGTTGTGTCTCCCTCAAATTCATAGATTGAAATCCTAATCCCCAATGTGATGATATTATGATGCAGAGCCTTTGAGAGGTGATTAGGTCATGAAGGTGGAGCCCTCATGAATGGGATTAGTGTCCTTTTAAAAACAACCCCAGAGGGCTCTCTCACTCTCTTTCTGCTATGTGAAAATCCAACAAGAATTCTGCAACACAGAAGAGGGATTTCACCAGAACCCAGTCATGCTGGCACTGTCATCTCAGATTTTCATCCTTACATAACTATAAGAAGTAAATTCTGTTGTTTATAAGCCACCCAGTCTATGCTGCTTTATCATAGCAGACTGACCTGCCTAAGACAGAGTACTTGCCTCACAGAGTTGTTTGAGGAACAAATGAGATCACACTTTTCAAGTACTTGGCACAGGGCCTGCCTGGCCCATGGCAAGTACTCAACAATACTAATGTCCTTGCCCAGCTTCCCTGGGATAACCATTGCTTGGCCTACCGGAGCCTTCCTGGCTCTCCCTCACTGGGTTAGTACCTTCTTTTTACACCATATTTACTGAATTAGCTTGCCAATAATTAACTAACCTATTTGAATGCCCCAGTAAGCTGTGAGATCCTTTGGGAGAAGGGCTTCCATCTTTTATCTCTGATTCCCTAAGCCCTACCATGGGGTCCACTACATGGTGGGTGCTCATTAAACATTGGTTGCATGCATGAATGAAATGGTTTCTGCCCAGCAGCTTCACCTGCTGATGGTTCTGGACAGAAAATAAAGGAGGAAGAGGCAACATCACCTGTCAGATTATGGGAGAAAATCTCTGAGGCTTCAGTCT